GCACTATGCGGCCACCAAGCCCAGAGTATTCACAGAAAAGCCAGCCGACCCTGCTTTAAACCTGCTCACCGTTTCCTACATCCATTTTATTTCAAAGGGGACTTTACGTCCCTACATAAATGCTCACCTGGAATCACTTGCCATAAAGGAAGGGAATTTTGTTTAAAATGCTACATTGAAAATCAAATGTTATTAAACCCTCACCAGATGCATCTGCCTCTTGAAGGTCCTGAGACTGTTTCCGGTTCTTTCCTTGTTAAAAACAAAACCACCACTAAACCCAGATCTTAGCGGTGCTACACACGTGCTAACGGGCCAGGTGGAGAGCTCCCCGAGCTCCGTAGACACATTTAAACAAGAGCACAGTGAGCACCCCCCATCGGTGAGTGTCGTTGGTCCGAGTGTCGTTGGTCCGTGCACTGTTTGGCCTCCACCTACACTGAGCTCATCGGCCACCAGCGCCACCTTCTGCACCCACCCCCCAACGCTGAGAAACCCTCTGTCCTCTCCCACAGCCACGGTCTGCCTACGTCCGGGCAGTGTGTAACCATAGGCCGGGTGCGTGGCTTGGACCACAGACATTTATATCTCCCAGGCGCGGGCAGATCAGGTGTCTGGTGAGAACAGACTCGTGCTGGCTTGCAGATAGCCTGGTTCTCGTGTCCCCACGTGGCAGAGAGCAGAAAGAGAGGGTCGCATTGAAGGTGGCACCCACTCCAGGCCGGGTCCCAACACCACCAGAGATTCTGATGGAGTTCATCTCTGTGTAGCCTCCCGGATGTTTTTAGAACGGAGCGGAGCTATAATAGGTAGACTCCTTAAGGTCTCAGTTCAAAGAGCTTTGACAATTATGTATGCACCCTTGTAACCTCAGCCGAGGCAAGAAGGAGAACATTCCGTCCCCCGGAGGGCTCCCTTGGGCCCCTCTTAGCCCAGTTCCCACCACCCCCTGCTCCGAGGGCAACCACTTCTGCCACTGTCCTGCCCTCTGCCTGTTCTTGGACTTCTTAGGATGCGATCATGTGGGGTTGGGGGAGGGGATGAGGGTTCGTTTCTCACTGTAAGCAGTGGGGGAGGGGCTCCATGCTGTCCGGCGGCTCTTCACGCGCAGCCAGACCACGCTCAGAGCCGTTGCTTAACGTGTCGTTAAGAGCTTAACATTGTGCCTCTCTCTAGTCATTTATTAGGCAAGACTGCAAGAAGAAAAAGAAAAAAGGAAGGTTTTCCTTAGATTTTCCTCTGCAGCTCTGGGCACTGTCCCCTCAACCATCTTACCTGCGTCCTGGTGATAACATTAGCCCTTACATAGCACTCCCTTTGCGGGGGCACCCCCAAAATCCTTCCATGGATGAATTCACCCCACTCTCCCAGCCTGCTGAGGCGGGAGCTGTTATCCCCATTTCACAGGTGAGCAAACTGAGGTCCACGCAGGCGGCTCCAGTCCCTGCACTCGACCCCTCTGTACACCTTCGGTGCAGGGCTCCAGCTGTGTCCTTCCCCGTGCGGCGCCCTCCCCCAGACTGGCTCCTGTCTCGCTCAAGCTCCCCCGTACCCCTGTTGCTCACACCCACACTCTCAGGCCCATCCGAGACAACTTTGCTTTCCTTTTCCTAAGGAGCGAGCACAAGGTTCACTCTCTTAAATGTACTTTCAGAAGCTCACTCAGTCCTGAGGGCCCCACGTCCCCGAGAATGCCGCCAGAGGTCTCGCTAAAGTCTGGACACGCAGACCTGTCCCCTCTGAGCTCTTGCATCAGAATCTGCCAGCTTGGAACCTGGCGACTTGAGCTTTTAAATACTCCCCCCTCCGAGAGCCACGGATGTGGGAGCAGCGACCCAGGCCGGGAAGAATGCCCAGCAGGTGGTGGCTCTCCGTTTTCCAGACAAGGACACGGGATCTCGGGTCAAGTACACACTAGAGGGAGAGGAGGGAGGGAAGACTCCTTGACTGCCCTGTGCTCACACTATACTCCCTGCACTTTAATCTCGTCCCCCCACTCGGGAGCTGGCACTGTCCCTGCGCCCGGGGCCCAGGCCGCCTGCGGTCCTCAGTCCCGCGCTCTTGTCCTTTCCCACAGATTACTCCACGATGCAGGCGGTCCAGGCCAGCATGATCCTCTCCACCATTCTCTGCTGCATCGCCTTCCTGATCTTCTTGCTCCAGCTCTTCCGCCTCAAGCAGGGAGAGAGGTTTGTTTTAACCTCCATCATCCAGCTCATGTCATGTAAGTAAAACGACAGGCTTCCTGGAATCGGCACCCTCCCCACCCCCTCACCACACCCGACCCCCGCCTTCCCAGCCAGGAGCGTGGCAGGTGAGGACTCGGGAAGGAGAGGTTGGCAGCTGTGCCCCGCTGCCTCCGTGGGACATTTCATATTTCGGAGTTTGGATTTAGTTAGGGGGTCAGGGCGGGCGTCCTTCCTGAGCTGGAATCTGTAGGGTGAGTAGGAGTTGCTGCAGAATGTGCTCTGTTGGTACAGAGGGGAAGGAACAGTGTGTCAGGCAGCGGGAACAGCATGACCAAAGCCCTGTGATAGAAGACACTTAGCTGGCCAGTGCGGCTGGAGTGTAGAGACTGGGGGTGGGAGGCCTGGTGTGAGCTGAACCAGACTCATAGGTGTTGTAAGCCTGCTAGGATTTGGGGGTCTTTTTCCCAAGCTGGTGGGAAGCCACCAACTGGCTTTTTGTCATTTTTTTGGCTGGTTGGTGTTAGACGCGCCTGCTTTGGGCCCTTGGGGGCTGCTGGAGATACAGAGATGAGCAAGACACGGCCTCAATCCTGAAGGGACTTAGAGAAAAAAGGTCTCTCAGAGCACTTTGTCCTACTTGTGAGTTTTAGAAGCCGGTGTAGAAGCCTGTGCCACCACATGATGGCGTGTTACTGTTCCTCAGTAGAGAGTTAAAGCTTTCTGATGACAAAAACTGGAACCCCTCCCCTTCCACTGTACTTTCCAATCGGGAGACAACGGGTGGCTTGAGGAGGATGAGAACTCTGTACTTCAGAGACCGCCTGCTGCCTGGTGCTAACTCCCACCTTCAGCCACCTATCTGCCTCCCAGACTTCATTCCCTGCAGCCCAGAGTCAAGTCCAGACCTGCCATGCCCTCAGCATAGCCCCGAGGCACCTTACACACACCAGGGTGATCTGTGTGCCTGCACCTGTTTCAGTTTTACTTTTTGTTTTTTTAATTCTCACCTGAAGACATGCTGAGGAAGAGAGAGAGAGGGAGAGAGAGAGAGAGAGAGAGAGAGAGAGAGAGAGAGAGAGAGAGAGAGACATATAGATGTGAGAGATCGATGTGAAAGAGAAACATTGATCGATTGCCTTCCATATGCCCTCTGACTGGGAATCAAACCCACAACCCAGGCATGTACCCTGATCAGGAATTGAACCGGCGACCTTTCAGTGCACAAGACAATGCTCAACCAACTGAGCCACTCCAGCCGGGCTCTCAGTTTGAAAACTGAGTCCTGCATCCCAGGAAACCCCTCAGTCCTGGGCACAGCAGGATGGCTGGTCACAGACAGCATCCTTCCCTCAGGGCACCTGACCTGACAAGCCAGGGTGCAGGCAGAGATGAAAGTATTTCGATCATAAAAGACCCTGGAGGGTCCCTTGGTCCCCGAGCCCAAAGTCCACCAGGATCCCTCTGGGGACCTTCCTAAAGTGCAGACCCCAAAGGCCCATCTTGACCTGTTGGTTAGCACCTGGGGATGTGTGTTCTCATCCATGAGCCCAGCACTTGGGAGCAGAGACGCAGACCCAGACCCAGTGAGGCCGAGAGAAGCAATACAACTTGCCCAAGGGCACCCGTGAGGGGGTGTCTGCTCTGCCTCTTCCTTTACTCTCTTTGTATCTCGCAGTGAGAGGCATGGACACCCCACGACTCGCACCATTAATGGCCGTTGAATCTCGACACGTAACATGCGGAGAGGGAGTTGGGGAGTTTCCCATTCAAGTTTCCTTTCTGTTATTGTCTCCATGTGTCTGTTTGTCTCTGAAGGCCGTTTAGTCAAAACTGGTTACCTTGATACAAAAGCCACACACACCCCTTTGCCGTCCACAACAACTCCTTTGACCATTTTCTGGCCCGAGGACCTGCCCCTCCCTCTTCTGCCCCAAGCCTGCAAGGTCTGGACGCCATGTCAGTCAGTGATGTTCAGGTGTGAGCAACAGACGCTCTGATAACTTACATTAAGTGCCAGATGCCAGGGCAGCTCACACAATTCAAAGGAAAAGCTGGACACCGGGTCTCGGATAGAGGATCCAGGCAGCAGGAACTGATGGGCAGTCACTTCAGCGAGATGCTGGCAGAATCCGTGTGAATCAGATGACAGTGTGGCTTTTCCCTCAATTCAAGCCTCCAGGAACAACGGTCTGATCGGCAGAGATTGTCACACACTCAACCCCCAGTTAGAGAAGGGCTGGCACCCTGATGGACAGTCCTAGCTGGCCAGGGGAGGCGAGAGGTCCCGCCAGGAAAACCAGGGTGCTTAACCTCATCCTAGCATTTATGTCTGTGATTCAGTCAAGTTGCCTTTGGCTGCAAGTAAGAGGAAATTCCAATTAACAATGACTTCAGCCACAAAGAACTTTACTTTTTTAATATAACAAATAGGAGGTGGAAGGTGCCACAGTTGGTCTGGCAGCTCAGCAGCAGTATCCCCAACCCCCACAGCTCTCCTCCTTCTATGCCATCATCCTCAGAGTGTCAGTGATAACCCCAAAAGGCTGCCACAGCTCTCATGGCCCCCAAAAGGCTGCCGCAGCTCTGGCCACTCCCTTCCAACCTAACAGGCTAAAGTAGTACGCAAGGGGAAGTACAGAGCTGAGTAGTGGGGGACAGACATTGTACAGACCCTGCAAACCTGAACTATTTACCGTCCAGCTCACCCCTGGTATAGATACATGATGTCTTGTCTTCTGGGCTGGGCACACGGCTGCCCAAATAAAATTGTCTTCAGCCTGGCCAGTATGGCTCAGTGGTTGAGCGTTGACCCATGAACCAGGAGGTTACGATTCTATTCCCAGTCAAGGCACGTGCCCAGGTTGTGTGCTCAATCCCCAGTGGGGGTCGTGCAGGAGGCAGCTGTTCAATGCTTCTCTCTCATCATTGATGTTTCTATCTCTCTCTCTCCCTCTCCCTTCCTCTCTGAAATCAATAAACACATATTTAAAAAAATAAAAATTGGGTTCAGCTAGCAAGAATGGGCAGCAAAATGGTGACGGGGAAGCAGTGATCGTCAAGTAAAATATTCGTTATCATCGTTCCAATAGACTAAAACAAACACCTATAATAATAAAAGCTTAAGTTGGTCTCTAATAGTCCCCTCAGGGGCCTGGGACGCGCTGCGGCCCGTGACTTATTGGTGTCTTCACTTTTCTTCTCCCAGGCCTGTGTGTCATGATTGCAGCTTCCATTTACACAGACCGACGCCAAGACATTCACAACCACAACTGGGAATTCTATACTCTGACCGCAGAAGGCACGTACGGCTACTCCTTCATCCTGGCCTGGGTGGCCTTCGCCTTCACCTTCATCAGCGGCCTCATGTACCTGATCCTGAGGAAGCGCAAATAGACCCCGGCTCTCGGTCGCTCTCACGCAGTACAGTCTACATCCAGATAACCGTTTTGTATATAATCCGTTTTTTTGTTTTGTTTTTTTTGTGTGGTTTTTCTAGCAAACATATTGTTTCCTTTAAAAGCCAAAAAAAAGAGAAGAGTTTTTGCATTCTTGAGATCAGAGAACAGACTGTGAAGGCTGGAATTCAGAACTCCCGCCGTCGGAAAGTCCCAACAAGACAAAGCCAAAAATCCAGCCATGCTCAAATCCTAAAATGTCCAGCGGGATGTTTCCTTACCACGGGGATGTGATGTGAGGACAAGAGGCTGAGAAAGCCAGGTCTCGGGGGACATCTCCCCCTAGGTTTGGGCCATACCATGTCCTCCTCATCTCAGCTTCCCTTTCCCAAGTCTCTGGGTGTTTAGTGGTGAAAGGTGAGGTGAGGGGCGGCCAGGTGAGGGATGAAACCTCCTCAGGTATTCAGCCAAGTTCCATGTGAGAAACAGGTATGGACCCTGGTGTTCTGCCTGTACCAGACCACGGCCCTAACTGCCTATAACGGGCTAGGTCCCGAAGGTGCCACCTAAACTTGCAGATGTTGTCACCTGCTTGCCTGGGGGAGAGGGGGTCAGATGTGGGCTCACCCTGAGGCAAAGACTTTCATCTTGTGATCCCTAGTACACCTATAAAATGCACACTATTGGGTACCCACTCCCAGACCTACAAAATCTGTCTTCAGAAGTGGGACCCGGAAGCCTGCATTGCTATCAAGTTCCTCCGTGATGCTTAGGTGCCTTAAGGTTGAGGGCCACCTCCCAGAACCCGGGGAGCAGAACTGCCTCCTCACAAACATTAAAGCTCTCATCATATCAAGCTGGGAGGTGGGTCTAGACCCCACTGCAGACCAAAGCCCTGGCCTCCGTCAGCTCTTGATTCTTCCCTGTCCCTGCCACAGCTGCTTTCATCTGGACCACCCAACCTCCAGGCCCAGGCCCCACACCCCACTAGCCAGCCACCCTGGGGGCAGGGGGCCACAGCCTCCTTATAGCCCTAAGTCAGAAGGCCTCTCCTCTTCCTGACCTGCCTTCTAAGCTGGTTGGCCTCTACTACATTTCTGGAGCCTCAGAGGACCCATCCACCATCCATTCATTTACCCATTCATTCATTCATTCATTCATCAGCATAAGGCTGGGTGATCATTTCTCCTTCTGGGGCTCATCGTCCAAGGAGAAGATGAATTAAAAACCAATTAGGAAAACTAATTAAAAACTGTGATGATGGCTGTGAAGACCGCAACCGAGGATTGAAAAGTGAGGCCGGTGGGTGGGAGGGAACCTGCTTCGTGCCTGCCTATCTTTAAATGCACCTGGAGGCATGGAGATCACCCTCAACATTGCTCTCTCACCTGTGCAGCTGGCATTTATTGGGCAGCATTGTCGATTCCATCAAGAGGACGTTTAGTTCTGTGGAGCATCCCAGGGCCCTGAGAGCCAATGAAGCAGTGACGGGAACCAGTCTGCTGTGGTTCTCAGACTTGAGAGGGCGCAAGTGCCACTCGGGGGACTCTGCCTTGTCAGGGCCTAGGGGGGTGGGTGTTCCAGACAATTCCGAGACTATACTGAGAAATGCGGCTTTGGGGAGTCTGTCCTTAGGTGTAAAAGCACCATGAGGTGTGAGGTGTGCGGCAGTGCGCCTGACCCTGGGGCGTGCCCCCATTGAATGAGCTCTTGGCGCGCCTCAGTCCTTTTCCTCTGGTCCTGAGCGTGCTTCTGGGGAGGCATGCCTGGGCCAGTGCGACCTGTTGGCCGCGTCTCGGCACTGGTGCTGCTTAAATGCTTCTGCACTTGACCTGCTGAGTGGCAGCGATCTGCCATCAGCCCAGTTCTGTGTTGAGTAGCTTTGGGGCCACCGTGGACTCCTTTTCAGTGCAGGGTTGGGTTTTTCTGTCCATCTATTCATTCATTCATTGTTCATTTTCCACCGAGTACTCCGTGCCTGCTATGGTCCAGGCAGGGTGTGAGGCTTTGAAAACAGAGGGGCGAGCAAATCCAGGAATTCTCCCTGAGGCAGGACACCCTCCCCCCAGAGAGCCACCAGCACAGTGCAGGGTGACATCGGGCCAGGGACAGGACAGGGTGCCACCTCCTGGAAAACTCAGGCGTAGGGTGGGTCGGAGCAGCCACATGCTTCGGGTTTGGAGGATGCTACAGGAGCCTCTGGAGGAAGGTGCGTCTACAGTGCCCCCAGCTTCCCAGCCAGGTGGCTTTTCTCTAGTTTCCTGGTGGCCACGTGGAAACAAACCAGCAGCCCTCAGAACCAGGAATCTGGTAAGCCTCATCCCCGGGCAATGCCCGGATTTCCTTCTCCAAAACTTGAGGGGTGCGTGAGAATCTGAAATGACCCCATGGATTTTCCTGGCTGGTTGCCGCTACTGTACAGCATTAGCATCCACATCTATCGCGATGCCAAGGTTTTGTGACTCATGAGAGCTGCCTGCCCTGCATTGCCGAGGTGGGAAAGAGGTGATGGCGTCAGGGAGAAAATACCCATATTTCTTACCTGTAGGCAGAGTCAGCCCTCACTCGGTGCTTACGATCAGTTACTCAAGAACATCAACAACAAAGGAAACTAACAGACATCCAGGAAGCAAAAATTAGGACCAAATATTATTACTGGTAACAACTGTATTTGAAGGAACTGTAGTTTGCGCATGTTAGGACATTTTTATACAGTACTGTAATTCTTTCATGGGGGGGGGGCGCTATGGATGGAGACAGACTAACTCGTTTTGTTATTCGCATTAAAATTACTTTGGGTCTCTGTCAAGTGAGTTTGGAAAATTAATGTGTAGCTCTGAGTGAATGTATATATTTATACCTGAACACGGGAGAATTGGAGACCTCCCCCCAATCCTCCATCCTCTGCGGCAGGTTGGTGGCCTGTGTGCACCCCTAATTGACAGGCTGAGGTCCTGGGATGCTCTGTATTAACTGATGCCGAGGACACCTGGACCCCCAAGCCTGTATGTAAAGACACTAAACATAGTAGCTTAGATAGAAGCTGTAGCATCATTTAAAATCTGCCTGGGTGGGGAATGACTAAACTTGCTAATCGTTGAAAGGCTACTTACAATACAGCTCATTGGGCAGTTTTGTATATTGGGGGGCGCGGTGGTGATGAGGAAATGCAGAGAAAGGCCTAGAGGTTAAGTCTGAACCTTGGTTTGTGGACAAATGTGATTTTAGGGTTTTAGATACTTTCTCCTTAATGTGCCTTTAAAATAGTACATTTTCTATGTTTTGTATAATCTGAAACTGTACATGAAAAATAAAGTTTAAAACCAAATCACCCAGAGCCACAGCCTCGAATGTGCCCATGCGTGCCAGCATCTAGGTTAGAATCCTGCCACGTCCAGTGGCAGGGGATCATTTGATTTCTCATCGAGATGAAGGTGTGGTTTTTACAGCCAGCAGTTGGTGCCTGACAGTTCGTCATAGGACAGACTCCCACCACCTTTGCCTGGATGAACCAATCGCAACTGCCCAGGACCTGGGCTTCCAGAAGGATCCATACTGGGTTAACGATCTGCTAACACCATCTTAAACTTCGTAATGATATTTCAGCAAACAGCCCCACATTCTCATTTTGCAATGGTTTCCACAAAATATGTAGCCAGTCCTTTCTCTTCCTTTTTCTTTTTTTCAATATGGCTTACATTCAGTATTATTTTGTACTAGTTTTGTTACTGGGTGGGGTCTGGGCCCAGAGGGTGTCTGTCTAGGCCTGACCAGTCGTATGTGGGTTCTTGACTTCATGCAGGAAGGATTGCGCAACACAAGTCCAGGTGATTTTTAAAAAATATTTTATTGATTTTTTACCGAGAGGAAGGAAGAGGGATAGAGAGTTGGAAACACTGATGAGAGAGAAACATCAATCAGCTGCCTCCTGCACACCCCCTACTGGGGATGTGCCTGCAACCAAGGTACATGCCCTTCACTGGAATCGAACCTGGGACTCTTCAGTCTGCAGGCCGACGCTCCATCCACTGAGCCAAACTGGTTAGGGCAAGTCCAGGTGATTTTGAGAGCACATTTATTCAAGCTGGGGACAGTGGAACAAAAGAAGGACTTAGGGTAGAAGGAGCAAGGAGAGAGCTGAGGTAGGGCTGCTTTGGCTCCCTTAGAAATAGGTCACAGTAAATGAAGTGAGCTCACTGGGAAATCAGAGAAAATGGGGGCCTTGGAGACAGGTTCAGGGAGTAAGCCTGGGATGAGCTGCCGCTGCCCGCTGCTCCCCTGGTGGCAAATCTTGTGAGGACCCATAGAGTTTAGGAAAAAGAAAGCAGAGTTCTAAGGTGTGGGGGTGCTCTAGCAAGAGCATGCCATGGACCCTTTGTCTTGAGGCTTTATATCTTTCTCTGGCCAGTGGGAATCCTAGGGAAGGTTTCAGAGGAGGTCTTAGCAGAATATTCATTAGCTCTTCAGGTGTGACCTTCAATATGTTGACTCATCCAAAGGTGCGTAGATAGGTATCAGGAGTTATTTCCTGGTTAGTTTTATTTTCAAGGAACATCATTGAAGAGGGATGGGACAGAGGCTGTTCTGCCCCCTGATAAATCCCTCCCATTGAGGTGCCAACAGCAATCAAGGCTCAACTACAACAGGAGGACCCACATGGGGTAGCGGCACACACGGAGTGCCCAGCTCAGGTGATCAGGGAAGCTATGTCACTGGACCCTACAGAATGTGCCCTGAAAGGACAGATCTGTAGCTATAGAGGAAGG